GGGTTGTAATTAGTCTGGGTTCTCAAATCCGTATAGGAGCAAGCCCCTATAGTTAATTAACATCCTAAGAGGAATGCTCCTAAGAAAACTCTCGATTAAAGCAGTGATTACATACCCTTTTGACTACAAAGTAGAAGACAAGAAACAGAAAATAAGATTTTCAAGGAGAAAGCTCAATGTTGGAACATTTATTTAGCGAGTCACAGACAGAACAGTTTTCCTTGAACAACCTGTACCGATCGTCCCGGACGATCCAACTTCGTCCTGGACGAACTTGGAGCAAAACTGATATTACAGAGAGAGAGAGAGCTAAGCAAGTAGTTCTATTACTGTGAAAACTTGATTACAAAAGAATCAATATATACTTTTAAAAGAAACATAAAATATGCTTCAACTTCAAATGTAAAATTAATTTTATGTATTTGTCAGTATCCTTTTATTCATGCATGAAAAATAATAAAAAATCATAAAAATAAGATACTTCCTATATATCTTCCATCTTACACCCACTTTTGAACCACCTTAATAACATTATTATAATAAAAAAATTATTTTAAAATTAAGTAGGTTTGCAAGGTATATATATTTTAATAATAATAAAATTATTATTCAATATGAATGGTCATGTGGAGGGAGGAGGGAGAAAATGAGTGGAAGAGCCACTTGTGTATCTTGTTACGCTCCTAGTGACAAATTCCATAGAGGTTCACATGCAATTTAGCTATCAACTACTCAATAGTAGCCCCTTCCATTCAATCTGAGATTTATGAATGTCCTTGCAGCCAATCAATGATTATTTAGATTCTCTTAGCTAATTAGCCTAATTTAAATCAATGGAACTTTTGGAAACATCATAATCAACTAACATGATCGGCTCATATATGAAACACATCTACACAATTTATGAATAAAATGACAATATAATTATTACAATCATTCATTATGCAGTAGAAAATTTTTATGTAGTAATATATAATATGAATGTATTACTCTAAATACTCCTGCAACTATGCAAATTATAGAAATTTTGTCCTTATAAATTTATGGTGTACCATATTCATTAGCTCTTTTTTGAAATCTTAGGCTTCGTTTGGGACGGCGTTCTTACTGCTTCTTAAAGTAGCTTTCTAGTACAAAAATTTAAATTTTTATATTAAAAAGCTGCTTTAAGAAGCAGTAAAAAAGCCGTCACAAACGAATCCTTAATTTCATCATTGTGCATAACAATCAAATATGTATAGAATACACACCAATAGAGAAGCTTAACACTATAGTTGCTTTCATATGTAATATATAGCTACATAACAAACTAAGCAGGAGATACTTAACCTACCACTTATGAGCAATTTCTTCTTGCGACTGATTTCTCTGATCTAATATTAAGGCAACTGTTTATAGCATTCGTAAAGACAAATATAATAGATCTGATGGATTTAGCTCCAAGTTTTTGTTAGGCACTTCGAAAGTATTGGTTATTGTTTATTGAATGTTGTTTACTATTTTTTATCTTATGCTACGCTTTTAAGTAGAATTAGACATTATGTTAAAATTCTTCATGCTAAAACTCTTAATGATTTTAGGCATACTTTTGGCAAAACTTTTGTATGAGGCGATTGTCAAGCTGCTTATAGGCAGGCTTAAAAGTGCTAATGCTTTGTCGATCTACGGGGCTCAGTTTTTCTTTCATACAGGATAGGTACATTTTTTATAATATTGCTATTGCCATTGAAAACCTTCGACAGTTACAATTTTAGTGGGCTCTTTGGAACTATTTTGTGCCAAAAAAATTTTAACTGTGCTAATCATCGCGCCCTTTACCAAGATTTTATTCAAAAAGAGTTTTCAAATAAATTTGTGAGTATGAAAGAGTTTTTCCAACCTTCTTATGGATTAAGGTGGGGATTCCCTATCTTACCTTATTATTAAGCTTTCATAACTTTACTAGTCTCAATATTGACGTTAACAAATCCTCTTTTTGCTTTCTAAATCTATTGATTAAGCCATTCTCATCAGCTGAGTGATATGCTTGGAATTGCACGGCATTCATTTCCTTGAAATAACTTGGAATCACTCTTTCTTATTCTCGATTGAAAACTAAAGATTGTTCTATTATACTCAATAAGATTACAGATTGGCTTATTTGCTGGAAGTAAAAACTCCTTTTTTTTGTTTGTGAACTTCAATTTGTTGCTCTATTGTTTGGAATTTTCTTTTCTACTTGTTTGGACTGGTTGTTCTTCCTAAAGGGATTTTAAGAAATATCTCCTGTATGATCTCAAAGTTCTTAGATCACAATGGTTTTAGAATGCTTCGGCCCTTCCCAAAGAGAATGGGGATTTAGGATTAGCTTCTCATGACACTTTTAACACTTTAAATGATTTGGAGACTTTATAACTCTAAATCTCATCTTGTTGATTGTTGTTTTAACTATAAAGTTTCTATATGGAAAAAGCATTCTAATAGAATTTCCTTAGTTTGTAAAGCCCTTCAAGACATTGTCGTGAAAGGTGGAGATAGATTTCCTTTAATGTTGTAAAGAACAATCCTCCCTCCCTTTTTTATGATCCTTGATTATGGATTATTCTACTTTGAAAATTTTGGTTACAGATGCTTTTGATGTTTTATGCAAAAGTTAATGATTTGATGATGGGTGGTTTTTGGGCTCTTCCTAATCTTACCTCTGTAGAGATTTCTGATTATGTAATGAAAACTGTTAAGATTAATATTCTTCCTAATTGTAACAATTGCTATTGGAGAGGCAATGACGATTTTTCTTGTAAGAATGTGTACAGTTTGTCTTATTTATTGTCTTCTTAAAGATGATTAGAGCAAGCTTCTTTTGTTTAAATGGTACTCTCTCAAATATGTTTATTTTGCATGGAAGATCCTTGTAAAGGCCTTAAAACCAAGGATGTGTTGGCTGACAGAGACTTAGGTTTCGTTTGGAATAGCTTTTTTACTGCTTTCTAAAGCAGCTTTTTAGTTTAAAAATTTATTGAACTAAAAAATTTTCTACTAAAAAGCTACTTTATAAAGTAATAAGAAAACTGTCTCAAACGAAATCTTAAATGTTAATGAAGAATGTGTGCTTTATAATGTTCATAATGGGACTTATTATCATCTCTTTTTTAGAATCCTCATCTGTAATGGCATTTATGCATAATTACATTCCTCATGAGTCTTTATTTTATGCTAGTTTCTTTTCTCAAGCTTCTCATCCATGTTGAGAATATTTCTAATAGCTTTACAAAAAGGATTTTCTGCTTGCTATTCTGAGCACGCACTCTGCATTAAAACAAAGAACAAAAAAATTACGTCAGAATATTCTGATGAAAGAGTAAAGGCTCAAAATTTTTAGATTTATTTAGACATTTGTGTAATATTAATTATTTATGTATTGCACTTATTTAATGGCTTCAAAACTTATCATATTCAAAATTTTGATCTAGATAGCCTGATAGATTTTTCTTTTTTCAACAGACTATTAATAAGATACAATAAAGAAAAAATATTCATGTGGTTATTTGGGACAACTTTTTTACTGCTTTCTAAAACATCTTTCTAATATAAAAATTTTTAGTTAAATAAATTTTTGAACTAAAAAATTATTTTAAAAATCAATAAGAAAACCATCTCAAATGAAGCCTAAATCTTAAATCATAATGCTTAAGACCTTTAAAATCTTGGAGAGCTACATCACCTTGTACAAGTATCTCTTGGAAATACCATTCCATTAGCTTGATGGAGTTATTTTTTTTTTTTTTCATTTAATATGTTCATTTTACTCCCTTTGATTTTCATATTTACAATATTTAACAAAGGAGACAATATTAAAAAAAAAAGGTTAAGAGATTTTAATCGTATTTCATATTTACATATTCAACCCCAAATGCAAAAGAAAAGGGTTTCCCTCCCATTACTATTAAGGGAATGATCTTATGTGCTTAGAGAAGAAAAAGATAATGTGTTTGACAATAATCCTCACTTTATTTGAAAACTTTTAGGGCTTCACTTACACTTGAGTTTCACATTTTATCAGGATTCATATAGGGATTTAGAATATATTAATACTCGGCATAGTGCGAGAGAAAATTTGATTATTTGGGGACCCTTTTTGTTTTGCCTTGCATTTCCTTTGTGCTTCAGTCGTCCGAATCCTATTCTGCATGCAGCCCTTCGTTTTCCTCCTCCTGTAGGACAAAACCATGGAGGAAGACAATCCACCAACGCACACCAAGATTTCCCGATCCCCTTCTCCTCGTCGGCAAGTCGCGGCGTCCTTATTGGAAGGTAGGACGGGGACTCACTCCGGCGGCAGTGCTGTTCTCACCCTAGATTCGGACTCCGCCTCCACCGGTACTGGGGACTTCGATTCTTTGCCGGGCAGCAAGGATCGAGTTTATGACTCTTCCGCTGTGTCCACTGGAGAAATAGAAGCTGTCGACTCAGATCTCAGTCACTCGAGTTCGTCGCCTAGCGGCGATGTGTCGGCATCAAAATCTACGGAACCCTTTATTTCTCCCATTTCTTCTCTGGTAGATGACGAGCCGGTTCATCTGACCTTTCACTCCATTGTTTCCGATGACAAAGGTCGCTCTCTCAGCGAGCTAGAGTTAGGGTTGGATAACGCTGATTTAATACCAGAGCTGGAATCATCCGCAGGAGTCACTGTAATGTCCTCGAGCCTATCTCCGTCTCAGTCACCGGAACTTCTGCCATCGCACACGCTTGTCTCTTGTGATGAACGGAACCATTTTTCCGATCCGGGCGATCATCCCATTGCTTCCTCTTCCTCCGAGTTGACTCTGGATGTGTCGGGCTCGGAATCCTTCCCCCCCAGGGCTCCACCTATTGCAACGCCGACTGCCCACCCTAGCCCACGTCAATTCGATCATATTTTTTCCCTAGTCAGCAAGGAATCGCGCGGTTCTCCTCTTGGATCTCCGAGAAGAGCTTTGACACAGCCTTTGATGCCCGAAGTACCCCCGAAGCTCGCGCGTCTGCTTGACTTAGCGATCAGCGGCGATACTGTCTGCCTGGAGGATCTTAAGGGTATTGTTTCGAAGGAAAGGGGTGACTCGAGATCGGTTGTTGACGCGCTTCTTGCGACGATGGGCGGTGTCGACGGTTTCGATGAGAGCAGTGGTAGAAATTCTGGTGATCCTCCTAGCATAATGCTCAGTTCCCAAGCAGCCATCGTCGCTGCAAAACTCATCCCCTGGCTTCCTTCTGAAGGGGATTCGAGGACCTCTGAATCTCCAAGATCTAGAATGATTAGGGGGTTGCTTGCCATCTTGGATGCATGCACTCGAAACCGTGCAATGTGCTCCAGCTGTGGCCTGCTCTCAGCTCTCCTAGAGTCTGTAGAGCGGGTTTTTGAGTTTGATAATTTTTCTTGGGGTGGTGCGTCATTATGCCAATGCATTCAATTAATAGCAGGACATTCTGTTACTGTTGCTGATCTGAATCGATGGCTTGGTTTGGTTAAGAAAACTCTTAACACTGAGTGGGCGGCTCGGTTGATGCTTACATTAGAGAATGCCATGCTTAGTGAAGAAATGAGAGGTCCAGCATGTTCATTTGAATTTGATGGTGAGAGCTCTGGTTTGCTTGGGCCTGGAGAGAGCCGGTGGCCTTTCTGCAATGGGTTCGCATTTGCTACTTGGATTTATATCGAGTCATTTGCTGATACCTTGAACACTGCAGCAGCTGCTGCTGCCATCGCTGCTGCTGCTGCTGCAAAGTCTGGCAAGTCTTCTGCCATGTCTGCAGCGGCTGCAGCAACTGCTCTTGCTGGTGAAGGGACAACCCATATGCCTAGACTATTTAGTTTCATTTCATCAGATAACCTTGGTTTTGAGGCTTACTTCCACGGCCAATTCTTGGTGGTGGAGAGTGGTGGTGGGAGGGGAAGGAAGGCTTCTTTACATTTCACGCATGCTTTTAAGCCCAGGTGCTGGTATTTTATTGGCCTGGAGCACAGTAGCAAGCAGGGCTTGATGGGTAAATCAGAAAGTGAATTGAGACTGTATGTGGATGGCCACATGTATGAGAGCCGCCCATTTGAACTCACAAGAATATCAAAATCTCTGGCTTTTTCATGCATTGGGACAAATCCACCTCCCACAATGGCTGGTTTGCAGCAACGACGGCGGCAATGTCCTTTATTTGCGGAGGTTGGCCCAATTTATATATTCAAAGAACCCATCGGGCCAGATATAATGCTTCGATTGGCTTCTAGGGGAGGAAATGCTTTGCCTTGTTTTGGAAATGGTGTAGGATCACATTGGATGGAAACGAATGCGTCTGTGAGAAATCTGGCTGAAGAGAGCTTGACGCTTGATGTTGCTATGGAAGGAAGCTTGCATCTTCTCTACCATCCCAGTTTACTCAGTGGTCGGTTCTGCCCAGATGCTTCACCTACTGGTGCAGCAGGTTGGTTTGTTTAGGATTTCTTTTATTAATTAACATTTTAAATTTGTCAATCACTAATGTCAGAAAAACATTGTCGCATTATGTCCTTCATAACTTGCCAAGCTTTAGAAAAACTTTTGACAAAATTGAGTATGAATCAATTGAAAATAAATAATGAATTTTTAAAAACTTTTGAAAAAAGAACCTATAAGAGAATTCCTAGCGGTTTAGTTTAAGAGCTCACGTTCACTTAACTAAATAATGTTTGTGGAGCTTGAAGAAGGATGCCTAATGAGCAAGAGCTTGAGAGAGTGCATTGCAATTGAGATATTCAGGAATGATGAAGTATCACAAATATTTTTAACCCAACGCATCAATGACATTTATAGAGCAAAATTTGAGATTGATGTTTGCCAAAGTAGATGGAAAAATATTTCTTAACATACTTTCCAAGTGTTTTCAAACTTTGGTCACCTTAGCTATATTTTATATGAGCATCCACGAGAGAATTGTCATAGGGCCTGTTTTCTTTTGGGTTTCACATTGACAGGTGGAAAATCAAATCCTATATCCATTTATTTGGTTATTTGACATCATAATACTATGATCCGGAAGATAAATAATTAGAATTCTTTTTGAGGTAATCTTAATTTGAGGAAGGCTATGCAATCAACTCTCGAATCAAGCTCATTGTCACACCTAACGACGTCCCCTTTGTGTTGTCCTTTGATGAAGCTCTTTTGTGTGCTCTAAAGCCTTCTGGTTTTAAGCGGTCCTCATATAATCATTTTTCCCTTATTCTTTTAGCAAGACTGTTCCACCTTAACATGAGAAATTAGTTACTTTTCAAGGCAAGCTAGCACTTATTTTCATTGAAGAAGAGACTTTAGAGCATTCCCATCCAATGTAGGCTCTCTAGATTCATGTCAGACTTATATTTGGTTGGAGACTTCTCAACTAGGCTAATCGATCATTATCATATCATTATAATATTATCATTAGAAGTATATTACACCCAACTCTTTTCATGATGATCTTACTATTAGGGGTGTCAAACCGGGTCGGGTTCGGGTCCGACCCGAACTTAATCCGATCTGAATCTGGTCAACCCAAACATGAGCCAATAACCCATTTTAATTTTAAAAAAGTATTTTTATTAACTTTTTAACCATAAAATTTAGGTTAATTGATAAAAAATGAGAACATTGTACAAACAAATAAAAAAAAATTAAGGAACAAATATTAAACAGGTCTTTTTCCGATCAAAATTGGGCTGTTGGGTCAATCCAAACTTGATCCGTTTAATGAACCCTACTTATTTATTAAACTGGTCAAACTGTACCTAGATAGGCTAAGGTTCAATCTCAACCGAGCACTCCAATGCTTATAATTCCGCACCTTTTATTTTCTCGAGTTCCTATTTTAAGGATTACTTGCATATGTTTATAAGTTTTACTTCAATGGATCATCATTCAATGTCTTGAAAATTGTGCCTGGTACACTAGAGTGTTGATAGTTTATTGAAAGGGTTCTTTAAAAAAGTCGTAATGCTTATATTTCATATCGATTAACGAGTTAGGGGTGATTTATTTAAAATTTTGGAAATATGAAGTGCAAATTCTATATGGAATATTGTTAGAATTTCCGGGTTCCTTCTTATAAACTTTGTTATTGTGGTTTTCAAGTGTATATAAATAGGGGTGACAAAAATTGACCCTACCTGCGAATCTGATATGAAAATTTCAAATTTGGGTTGACTCATTTAACAAACGGGTCATATTTTGGTCTGATAATTTGACCCGTTTAATAAATGATTATTTGTAGATTCATGGTCAATCTCTTGGTTGAGTGTTATAATGTGAGAATTATTGATTTTCATCATGTTCTAAATTCTAATCATTAGGACCTTGTCACCCAAAGAACTTATTATATGGATGGTTCCCCAATGAGTATGCTTACATTAACTTTTTCGTTTGAATATTGTGTGGAATATCTTATTGCTCTACTGTGAATTGTTTTCCCTCATTTACAGATTTACTTTTTTGATCAATCCATTTTGTACTTGGTTCAAGTTTTGGCAAATCGATTTAGATTGATGTTGCCACTACTTGTATGCCGTTAATGGCTAGGATTCTGGTTATAAATAAATTTAAATTGGTTATATATCTAATAGCTATTCTCAGAAGGTTGAGTTTGAAAACCTCGCCCTACAAAATATTTGGTCACAACTTCTCAGGATTATTTAGGGCACACCTAGAGTTGTAAAACCTAATAATCGTAGCAGTGAGAATCCATCATATAAAATAATCAAATATTCCAATGCAATGGTGGCAGTTTCATCTTCTGCTAATATGGCCTATACTCAAAACTTGAAATATATTTTGGATTCTGTTTTATAATCAGTGCCTTTTGGAGTTGCTATCCCAATCTTTACCTATACTCACATGATAAGTGATCATGTCCCTTATGGGGTTATTGCTTATGCTGTTCTATTTGTGTAAGGAAGTGCTTGCCGAAATTTAGAAAAAGCATTGGCTGAAATCTGATTTCAGTAATTTTAGAAAACCAACAACAAGAAAATCAAGAATAAAACACACAAACTCTTTTTTTATTGAAAGTTTTATGAAAGAAAAGACAAGATACAAATGGATCTTCAATTGGAGAGGAAGATATAGCTCTCACAAATTTATAGCCGCCGGCTAGAGCCCAAACACTTTAAGAACATCTAATTTCAGCCAAGGTTTAAAATTGCGTAAATAAGCCTCGAGGTGTTTTTCGTCCGTGAGGCGAGGCGTAATCCTCACGGACGCAGAATTGTTTAAATGAGAATTTAAGGGTTTAAGCAGGTAAATAATAGCAAGATTTTATCATACAATAAAAACATCAAAATGACAAGTGGAATTAGTGGAAATTAAGAAAAGAGATGCAATAAAATCATGTTCCAAAGTACAAAACCACAAAATTATAGCCTATCAAAACTCCCAAAGTACAAATTAGATGGAACATATATAATCCAATCATGTCTCATCACTAAATGGTTCTTCCAGTGAATCTTCTTCTCCAATTGTATCTATGAATGCCATATTTTTATCATCTTCAATGTGACTCACTTTTCTCTTCCCTGTTCAATAAAAATGATCATTATCATGTTACTTGCTCACTTGATATAAATATAATATAATAGCATATAAGAAGTTGTGGAATACCTTTATTTGGATGTTGTGCTGCAGAGTTAGTGGATGTGCGTGGTGTGGTAGTGGATGTGCCCACTTGTTCTTACTCCTCCCTTCACCACTTTATCACAAAAATTGCATTTTAAATAAACATACGTCTTCTCGCCGCCTCCTACATCAACTTGTACACTGTACTTCCAAGAAGAATCACGCCTCAATGATGTATTAGACTTCTCCTCGCCCCTTACCATATTTCCTAAAGCACAAATGCAAAATAAAACAAAAAATCTCAAAAAAATTAAAATCATAGATTTTCTTTCATTTGAAAAATCTTTTGTTGAACCTAAAAAAATACCTAAAATCGTTTGTAGACTTCTCCTAGAGGGCGGCCGGACACTTCAAGCTTGCCGGAGTGAGGCAGCACCGGCGAGAAGGGAGGCTGAGCGGACGTTCGGGAAGGGAGGCAGAGCGGACGTTCGGGAAGGGAGGCAAAGCGGACGTGCTGGTTTTTTTGCCTGCTTGGTTTCGGGTAGGCTGTATGAAAGGGGAGAAAGAAGCTTATTTCACTTAAGTGTGTGGGTCCCGATTTTTAGAGGCGTGCGCCTCACACGGAATTGCCCAATTCCGCCTTGAGGCGCGCCTCACAGTGGAAGAGGCGTACACCTCATGAGGAACCAGAATTGCTTAGGCAATGAGGCGATTTTGCTCAGAATTGCGTAGAGTCGTGCCTCTGATTGCGCAATTTTAAACTATGATTTCAGCAAACAAAACCTATCCCTAACCCTAGGAAAATCGCCTATTTAAAGCAAACAATAAACAGTAAATACCCAAACAGCCTTCCCCCAATTCCCTCATATTTCCTTGATTATTTTCATCCCAAATCAGCTCTCAAATCAGCACGTAAATATGTCGTCTTCAATTAGAAAACATTTCCTAATTAATCTCCTCCAAATAAGCCCTATTCAATTAGAAAATATTTCATAATTAATCTCCTCCAAATCTGCCCCCAAATTTTCAATTAGGAAACAACTCTTAGTTAATCCCCTTTGATTAAGAACCTTCCTAAACAACTCCCTCTTGATTAGGAAACTTCTTAATTCCCTCACAATCAAATCAGCTGGTCCATCACTTTGATTCCAGGAAGATGGGTGATCTTAACTCTCTTTTTATTGCCTATGATGTTAGCATTTCAAGAAAGAAGGAGTTTGTGGACAAGAAGTTTGGCCTTCTATATATTCAGAGATGCATAAATAGTAAGCAAGTATAAAGTCACTCTTCAAAATATATCAGGCTCAAAGTTTGACGATTCTAATTATCCTTTTTTTTCTCTTATGTAGGCCTGATCGTTTTATTTATTTTTAGTTTTTCATTTTATCTAGTATTGATTTATTATTGCTTCTTGCTGTATTCTTTTCATTGAATGATAATATATCATTTTACTTCAAAAATAAAAATAAAAACTGCATAAATGAAAATAGTTCACATCTGACATTTGTCGCACAAGCTCTTTCCTGTCCCTCAGCTCTTGACTGCAAGTGGCTTTGCCATCCAGCATTAGGCTCGCACATTCTACTCACATCACCACATGCACTTCTTCTCGCTTGTGTTTGCTTCTCCATAACTCAAAAATTTCTCCTCATCTCGGGCTGTGTGCACAATATACTCAATTTTTCTTTGGAATGAACGCCTCATGGTGTTAGCATCTCGTTTGTCTTGCACTTAGTTTGGGATTTTGAGATTGGTTCTTCCTGTAGTTAGGATGGTCCTCTTATGGCCTCCTAACTTTTTCGAGCTTTGGACATATGTCCTTTCTCTCATTTTTGACTTTGTGCTCATTCACTTCCTTTGGTTTTTGGATGGTACTATTAATACTTTTCTAACTTTCTATTAGAAGCTTTCTCCTATCATCTTTCTTTCTTTGTTGTTATGTTTTCAACATATGACACCTCTTTCTTCTTGGACATTGGTTGCTATTATGGTTTTGGTTGAATCAACAATTCGATCTCTATCGCTGCCACCTGTTTTGACGAGCCTATTATGTTAATGACTATTCGATGTAAACGCTAAAATTATTTACCCATTTAACTCTTCTGGGGAGCTACTTATAATCCTATTTTGGTTGTATTCCCTCTGTTTCGTCTACATTGCTTAAGCCAATCCATTTTATATGCCATGTGTTATATATCTGATAGATCTGTGCAACTGGGTACCACAACTGTCTTTATGGGCCCTTTATATCCAAAGTCTTGGTTGAATTGGACATTACTTTTCTATTTGAAAAGGGTGTGCCAATTGTCTCTTCTTCGTATGGACATTGAAAAAGGCTTGAATTTAAATGCATCCCGTTTTATTGCTTTTTTTAATTTTAATTATTTAGTTATTTTAAATACAGCCCGTTTTATTGCTTATACTGCATAAGTTTTGGGCATAGGTTTTCTTAATATTTCAAGATGCATCCTGATATGAGAAAATCTAATCATCTGTTGCTAGAGGAATAATCTAATGTTTAAAATCAACCACGTACCACTATGGTGCTGTTGCTCCTTCATGAGATTAGGCCTGCACTTTAGACTCGGGACTATTTTTAGACTCTCCTTTGGAGTTAGACTCTTGTGCATACCCTTGCTAGTCCCATAGAGTTGATCAGTGCACCATTTGCAAGTAATATCATTGATACTGAGTTGCCTATTCTTGAAGTACGTTATCTCCTGCCAATTAGTGAAGACATCAATGGTTATGATTATCAGCACCTTGATTTAGATGGGAGCATTCAGAGTGTTACTACTTTACCAGATGATGCAGAAACTGGAAAAAAAAAAAAATATTGACATTGTTATATTCACTAGGTCTCAAGCAAGACTCAAAATTAGTGTCTTTTGTAGTTTTCACGGTCCGTCTGATTTTCATCCTTATCCATCATAATTTGTTTATATTGCCTTAGTTATTTTCCTTTTTTTTTTCCTAGCAATTCTTGATAATTGTTTTTGTTGTATTCATATCATTTTTCTAGTTAATAAATTATGCTTTAAACAAAATTGCGATAAGGATTAAGAAAAGTTGGCTTAGTTTGAATAAAGATTTAAAATGACATGATAATCATCCAATAGAATTATTTCAATACATTGTTCTAATTTTTCAGGTATACACCGAAGACCTGCTGAAGTTCTCGGTCAAGTTCATGTTGCAACTCGAGTTCGCATATATGAATCTTTATGGGCTCTTGCTTATGGTGGTCCAATGGCTTTACTTCCACTGACCATAAGCCATGTGAAGATGGATAGCCTTGATCCCATCCTTGGTGACTTTTCTTTATCTCTTGGGTGTGCTTCAATTTCAGGCTCCATACTAAGAATTATCACCATTGCCATCCAACATACTGGAAACAGGGAGGAAATATGTCGTAGTTGGGCGCCAGAGATCTTGTTGAGAATTCTCTATCATCTACTGCAATCTATTTCTGTTTTGGAACTTAGGAAGCAAAATGTGCTTTATGATGAAGAACTCCTTGCTGCTGTTATATGTCTCTGTCAGGCTGACAAAAATAATCATTCGCTAAAGGTGCAACTTTTTAGTACTCTCCTCTTGGATTTGAAACCATGGAGCTTGTGCAAATATGGCTTACAAAAAAAGCTTCTATCATCACTTGCAGACATGGTGTTTATTGAGTCTTTAGCAATGCGTGATGCCAATGCCCTACAACTTCTTCTTGATGGATGCAGACGATGCTACTGGGTGGTCCCTGAAGTGGAAATGTTTGACTCATTTCCTAATAATCTAGAAACTAGGCATGCCGGCGAAGTTAATCTACTAGTAGATGAGCTTATGGTAGTCATTGAACTTTTGATTGGGGCTGCACCATCCTCAATGGCTACTGCTGATATGAGATGTTTAATCAGCTTTCTAATTGAATGTCCACAATCAAATCAGGTATTGTGTTAATCATTTCCGAATTTGTTCTTTTGGTTTGCAGTTATTTGTTTATGCTATTTGATGTTATTTTTTTGTAATGTTTAGAAAGCAATTGATGCAAGATGACTCTTGATTAGAGTTTCCTAATACAACTAATATGATGCGTAGTATGATTTACACAAATGAAATTAGAAATTCACTGATCACAATCACTAATTAATTCAACAACTTGCATTCGTTCTATGAAATATTCAATATTAGAAATATAACCAAACTGGCAATAACATGGTCAAAATAATTTAAGAGATTTAATGAAGAATTGGAAGCACATAATGTCAAGGAGTTGTTGAATTTAATTTGCATAAATTCGATTTTCGACATGCGGTTCTCTGATCGAAGTCAAAATATCTTATTAAGTCAACATTAACATTTTCAAATAATAGTGCAAGCAATGAAATTATTGAAGTAAGAAAAAAATTAGGCTTGATGCGGGTACAAGGAGATGACTTTCCCAAAACATTTGCTCAAACTCTCTCATTACTTGCTTAGTACACCCAACATTTTCAGAATGAGCTTCGTGTCTGTGCCAGGAGTGAAAAAGAAAAATGAAAAAGGGGAGTAATCATTTTATCTTCAGCACACCCAAGAACCTGAGTATGATTTATGGACCAATGAAGCACAAATTGGTGAAAATAAGGGTTCATTTGATGCAGCTGAAGTTGGTTGCAAAAGCTGCTATAGAATTAATATGGAGAAAGTATTTGATGAGGACATCGCTCAGAGATTCAGACACGTGTAACGGCGACGGAATCGTAGATCGGCGGCTACGATTCAACGTCTTTACTTTTGACGCTTTATGTTTTATCTTGTCTTGTCGTATGCATTTGGTTTTATTTAGTTTTGTTGTTTTTCGATTTTACCCCTATGGGGAGTGTTTGTCATTGTAGCATGGAGGGCAAGTTTGTACTTTTTCTTTTCATGTTAGAGGCCTATATATAGCGGCCCTATGTGTTGTAATGGGATGATGAATGTTTAATAAAAATTTCTTGTGTTTCTTCTTCTTCTTGTGTGATCACTAGAGAGAAGGGAGAGAGCTCGAGGTGAGCAAGTGCAAGGCCCACCAGTCGTTAGAAGAGTCCACGGCTCGTGGTAATTTCTTCTTTTATATTTTTATTTGTGTTTCTCCCATCCTCCTTCCCTTCTCCACCCAAGTCCACCTCCACCGGTTGCTTAATCTCTCCCACCCACTTCATCCTCTAGCTCCACCACCCCAAGTCCAACCACCATCCAAACCCACCTCAACCCGATGGCAAATCTTCTTCCCCACTTTGACCGCCGGCCACATACCCATTAATCAAGCCATTATGATGATTTCAATAATCATAATGACTCCCTAATTTAGATCTAGCATTAAAGGAAGAAATTATTTGAATTTTGAAATTCAAATTTTGAAATTCAAAACTTTTCTTATTTGCGAAATCTAAAAAAGGGAAGTTTTCAAAATTTGAATCCATTCGAAATTTAATTTTGGAGGATTCATTATTTTCCCACCTAGTTATCATATCTTGTTTGGAAAGAGCTTAACTCTCCCATAATCCCCTTCCCCTCTCTCTCCATGCCGCCGGCCCCATCTATGGCTTCCCCCTATTAATCCTCAATCAATGCCTTAATTAAAATTAATTTGAAATCAAATTTCAAATTATTTCCCTCTAAATTTAATCAAAATATGAGATTAATTTTAGATTTAGATTAAACCACACCCCCACCCTAACCTAACCTAAGCTCTTTCAAAACCTAGCCTCCTCCCCACTTCTCCAAGCCGTCCCCACCTCTCTCCCTCCTATTCAAGCCGCCGGCCTCCCTCTCCACCACCCTTTTCTCTCTTTTTGTCTTCCTCCTTGTGTTCTCTCCTCCTCATGCTTATGGTGCATGGCCGATCCCGAGGTCGATCACGGCTTCGCTTACAACGATCGAGGGGACCCCTTCTACGAGCCTGACTGGGAATACTACGAAACGGTGGAAAGATACGTCAAGCACATCCTCTACTGCTTAGCGGAGACGATCGATCTCCAAAAACCTAAGACGCCTTGGCTTCTCATTGGGAGATCTACCCCTTCTCCGTCCGTGGCTACCTCTCCATCAACAAAGACATTCGGTACCATCTTCCTAGTGGCAGTTTCTCTCATCGTATGCTTCGTCTTCATCCGCTAAAGCTTAAGAGTGATTGAGTGAGTAGGAACTCTAAGTGACCATGTCTTGATGTTACGCTGTGGATTCTTGATAACTTGCTATTAGTACTATTTAATTTTTGTTGTTATTGCAACGGTCTTGCTAACCTCTTGTAACGGCAACCATTATATAATATTCCAACGAAAAGTTCTAAGAATTTAACTTGATTGAAGCATGAGTTACTAATTAGCAATGCACAAATTCAATTTTTATTGTTACAATTTCAAAGCAACTCTTCGCATGTTTGTTTGACATCAGTATTTTTTTTAAATCATTGTGGATGATATAATTTTTTTCTCTTTTGAAGGAGTCTGACAATAGCTTTCATATATCTACCTCATTCTAGCATATTTGAATGTAAAAAATTTGCCTCCTACCATATAAATATTTGAAAAACAATGAATTAGCTATAGCCAAATAAGATTGTTGATGAGAACATCGACAGACGCTACTGACAGGTTTATCGACGGCGGAATCGCAGATCGACGGCCACGATTCAGCGCCTCTACTTTTGATCCAGACGTCATGATGCATTATTTAGTATTTAATGTTTTTTCCATTTTTACCCCTGTGGGGAGTTACTTTGTTATCGTAGCCCAGAGGGAAATGTTGTACTTTTCGTTTTCATTAGTTGAGACCTATATATAGTGGTCTCATAAGTTGTATTGGGGTTAATGAATATTTTGAATGAAATCTTGTTTTGTTATTTTCTTCTTCTTCTTCTTCTTCTTGTGGTGAACTAGAGAGGAGAATAAGAGCCCAAGGTGAGGGAAAAAGCAATACCCACCAGTCATTGGAAGAGTCTGTGACTCGTGGTCTATCCCCATCATCCCACTCTTCTTCCTCTCCCCAACCCGCGCCCTAGCCCCCCTCTTGGCCGCCGGCCACCCCACCACCACTACCCGTCCCCAAGCCACCCAACTGCCGGCCTCCTTCCCCATCCCCCACCTGTTCCAATTTTGAAAATTCAAAATTTGAATATCAAAACTTTCCAATTTTGGAAATTCCTAATTAGGAAAGTATTTAATAAATCCACATCATGATGAAATTCAAATTCAAACGGATTTTATCATAATCTTTCCTAAACCTTATGTGCCAATTTGGAAACTATTCAATTGCTCCCACACCAATTCCCCCCCTCTAGAAGCCGCCGGCCTCACCATGGATGGAGCCCTATTCATGCCACCAATTAATGCATTGATGACACGTTAATTTGAATCAATTTCAAATGAATTTTCCCCCCTATTTCTCTCAAAACCTGAAATTGATTTCAGGTTTTTAAAATAACTCCCTCCCTCCTCTCTCTCTAGCACCCGCCGGCCCCCCTCTTGATGGGCCCCATTGAATGCCCATTAATTCCCCTCATCTCTATTTGAAATTTGAAATCAATTTCAAATTAATTCCCTCCTATTTTACTCAAATTCCGAAGTTAATTTCAGATTTGAGTAAATCTCTTTCACTCTCCCCCTAACCTAATTCCCCTCACCCAAGTCACCCGCCCCCTCTCTCTCTACCTTAGCCGCCCCTCTCCATACTCCCTTCCTTGGGATTTTTGGATGCTCATCACACTTGACGTCAAGAGAAGACGATGACGCTCTCCCCCACCACTTCAAGAAGGCATGGCGAATCCCGAATTTGAGTGGGGCCTTGTATTCAACGCCGAAGGAAGCCTCAACATCCTAAGATCTCCGTTTTTCGACGCGGGGTTTGAAGACGACGCCACCGTTGGAGATTATTTGGAGCGAGTTGTCCCTACTCTTGCAAGCGTCATAGACCGCCAACGTTCAAACTTCAATTGGAGCATCGTCGGCCACCCACTACCTCCATCTCCACCGGCTACCTCTCCACCAACGAAGTTCTTCGGCGCCTTCTCTCTAGTGGTAATATCCTTCATCATATGTGTCACGACCCGGCCCGGTTAGCTCATATAGACGAGGCGGGAACGGAAATCGGAAAGGCAAATAAACCATAACTTCTAAAACTTTTTAAAGACATAAAGTATAACTGTAAGAACTTCAACACGTAGGAAACAAGCGCCTCTAATCATCATATAAACAAATCTAGCATTTCATATAACATATATGTACAAAGGTGGCAAAAAAAATCTAACCAACATGATTCAGCCACCCAAAACAATCTAAACTATAACAAAACAACAAAAGAGACAAGTGGAACCTGTCACCCGGTGTACGACGGCTGTAAGTGAACCTTGGGTGGTCAGCCATCTCTCGCAGCGGTTTCTCCTGAAAAGTTTCCCAAAACTAGGGAATGAGCTACGCTCAAGTAGGAAAAACTCTATCCTATGTTTTCATATGCCTTCATGTTATAAAGAAAAGTTCTGAACTGCTTGGATTTCATGCTAGATTTCGTATGCTTTACATATGTCATATTTTTCTCTATGCTTTATGTCACGTATGCCATGTCTTGTGTA